CTCTCTGTCTCTCCTTCTCTCTGTAAATTTGACTTTCCAATAAATAAATGAATAGATAAATAAATTTTTTAAAAAAGTAGTTATTTTATTCATTTTTATTTGTAATTAAACACTATTTGACCATTTTGTTTCTGAATTGGTAATAAATTCATATGTTTTAAAGATTAAAAAAAAAAAAACCAGGCCCAGCGCAGTGGCACAAGTGGTTAAGGTCCTCGCCTTGCATGCCCCAGGATCCCATATGGGCGCCGGTTCTATCCTGGCAGCCCTGCTTCCCTTCCAGCTCCCTGCTTTGGGACCCTGCACCCGCGTGGGAGACCCGGAAGAGGCTCCTGGCTTTGGATCGACATAGTATCGGCCATTGTGCTCACTTAGGGAGTGAATCATTGGACGGAAGATCCTCCTCTCTGTCTCTCCTCTCTGTATATCTGCCTTTCCAATAAAAAAATAAGAAAAATAAATCTTTAAAAAAAAATTAAAAAAAAAACAAAAAATATTTTGCATGAAAATATTTTCCCTCCCTGTGTGCAATGTCAGCCTCTCATAGGATGTCTTTGGAGCTTTTTGACGTTCACTGTTACAGAAATGGGTGCATATCTGCTTCCTTTGGACTCCCGAGGGAGGCTGCTTCTCAGAGCTGCTGAGCCAAGCTTTCAGGTTCGCATACTGTGGTTCAGCCATGGCCTCAGCACTGCAACACCTCCCAACAGCTCATTGTCCTCTCAAACAGTTGGTAGGCCAGTGAGGCTCAGCTTTGTCGGGTCAGGGGTTGGGGGTTGGGTGTTGCTGGCATGGTCTTGTCCCCTTGGGTGGCAGACAGATGGATATCAGTAAGTCCAGTGGTGTGTACCGATGACCCAGTTAGACTGGTGGCCAGGGTACCCACACACAACTGCCCATGTGGCCTGGGCTCCTCCGAGCTGAGAGCTGGGCTTCTGAATGGGCATATCCCAGGGCAGCATGACGTAGAATCTTCCAGACCAATAAAAACTTATTAACAGAACCTGTGAAGCCACCTGTGGGTCTTTTTCATCGCCGAAGCGTTTAGGAGACCTGTTTGGATTTTAATAAGGTGTATGTGTGTGTGTGGGGGGGTGGTGGGTAGGAGGAGTACTGCCACGGCCATCTTCTGAAGCAGGTGTTGCCCCTCCTGATGGGGTCCCAGGCCTGGAGAGCCTTCTGTTGTGCTGGCTCACCTCTGGCACACTGCCACAGTAACTCCAGATCTTGCCCCCTGGGCAGCTAGCTAGTTCATGGTCAGGGCTAGCCGCCTGCTCTCTAAGCTTTCCTGGCTCCCAGTGACTGCTCTGTGCTTATCACATGTATGTCTACAAACTTCACAGTTCATGACGTGCCGTAAGCAAATGCCAGTTCTGATATTTCTGCCTTTTAGGGCAGCCAACAGCTGGCCAGTGATCTTTACTTGATCTTAGCCAAAAGGCCAAGAAGCTATGGCCAGTGATCTTGTTTTCCCACATACTGTTGGCACATAAGGTATGTACAGTTTTAAATGTGAAGTTTGCAAAATTGCAAGCTCGGGAGATTTCATAGAAAAATCCAGATTAAGTTCTGAGCTATGGAAGAATTCAATTATTTAAGTAACAGGTGGGGTAAACTGAACAAGAGGAAAATAATGTTTGCCCAAGCAGATTGCACATTTTAGTTGTAGGGAGAGAGATAATAGGTAAATAAGTGAAATGCACAGACAATTCCAAAGAAGGCTGGTAAGGATAAGAAAAGGAGTAGATGGAAGAGATGCAATTTTATTCTTTATAAGTTCTTAAAGGTTTCTTTGTTTGAAAGTCATACTTAGAGGGAGAGGAGGAGGAAGGGAGGAGGAGAGCGAAGGATGAAAGGAAGAAGGGAGGGAGAGAGAGAGAGACAGACAGACAGACAGGAGAGAGAGAGGAGAGAGACTGTCTTCCATTCTCTGGTTCTCAAATGGTCATAATGGCCTCAGCTGAGCCATACGAAGCCAGGAGCCTGGAATTCCATCAGGGAATTCCATGTGGTAGCAGGACTCCACGTACTTGGGTCATCTTCTCCTGCTTTCCAAGGCTTATCAACAAGGATCTGGATCAGAATCAGAACAGCTGGGACTTGAACCAGCACTCTGATGTGGGATGCCAGCATCACAAGTGGCAGCTTAACCCATAACACCAGCTTCAGGCTGCGATTTTAGGTCACAGACAGGGTCACGGAAGGCCTCACTGAAATGGCGACATGTATTTTCAAGCTGATGGAGTTGATGAAGAGAATCAATTTCCAGAATGGTGCTGTCCAATCCAGGCAATCGCCATATGCTGCCATCCAAATTTATATGAATTAAAATGAGCCAAAGTTAAAAATTCACTCTTTAGTCACACCAGCCACATTGCAAGCCCTCAGTAGCCACGTGCTGCCAATCACGTCTGGGCCATTTCTGTCACTGCAGAAAGGAGCTGTCAGGCAGCGTCCCAATGACAAGGGGTGCCAGGAAGAGGACTTGGCTGGAGCCATTGCGTCAAGGTGTCAGCTCAAATGGGTGCCATGGCATTCCTGTATACACACTCTTACTCTTCCCGGTTGTCTCTGCTCATCAGCGAGACCTCATTCAGCTTTGCAAAGGCCGTGATGGACGTTGCGCTTGGCGCCCTCGGTCAGGGCCACAGAATGAAGAGAATGTGCTCCAGCTCCTCGGCCCTGTGCCAGGAGGCTGTGTGAAGGAGCGTGAGGACCTGGATTGCTCACAAGAACACACATGTTCTATCTGGGAGCAGAGTAGGATGCAGGTGTCAACCAAATAGTGTCTTCAAGGGTGATGGGGCACAGGCTCTCAGTCAGCATCTTTCCCCGAATTCTGGAGGGCCAGGCATCTGCTCCTTTGCTGGTACATCAGGGGGAAACTTGAAATCTGGCTGGGCGTCGTGATGCAGCATGTTAACTTGCTATCTGAAGTACCGACAACGCGTACAGGAGCGCTAGTGTGAATCCTAGTTGCTCTACTTCCTGCTTATGAGACTGTGAAGGGAATGGATGACGACCCTACCACTTGGGTTCCTTCTGCCCATGTGGGAGACCCGGGGGGAATCCCCCAGGGCTGCTTTGGCCTGCCCAGTCCCAGCCATTGCTGGCAGTCGGAGAGTGAACCAGTAGAAGGAAGATTCTCTCTCTGTCCTTCTCTCTATCACCCTGCCTTTCAGATCCGTCAACCAATTCCAAAAATAAAAACAGAAGCATAAAAGTATGAGTGGAACTCTAGGGCTCACAGCAATGACTTAAGTACCACCTGGCATCGAAGGGCTGCTTTATGTTTATTTTAATTCGCCATTCAGAGAGGGAGAGAAAGACAGAGAGAGACAGCTACCCTCAGTGCCCATCCCCAGCCAGGGCCAAAGCTAGGAGTAAGAAACTCAGTCCACATGGTGCCAGGCACCCAATCCCTCCAGCCATCATCGCTGACTGACAGGGTCTGGGTTAGCAAGGAGCTTGATCCCAGAGCCGCATATAGAACCCAAGCTCCCCGCTGTGGGACTTGGGCATCTTAAACGCTGGGCTAGACCCTTGCCCCTGGAACAGAAGTATTTAAACACTGGAAACACGGATGCATGTACTGGGGACATAGAAGCGGAACTTCAACCCTGGGGTGTGTGAGTGAATACATGCACTAGGCTCTTGGAAGCTGTCACCGACCTGTAGAGTTCACTTTGGAATCCTCTCCCGGAAAGCACAAGAGACAGGTCCCAAGGAAGCGTGGGTTTCCTTCCCTACCCCTTATATCACCACCATGCTGGGTGGCTCAGTAGGTCCCCTGTGGCACCTTGTCGGCGCTCGCTCCCACCTGCGCCCCCTACTGGCAGGTCTCTCTCCCTCCTTCAGCCTGGGTGATTTCCCCTCACCCCCTCCCCAGCCCTGGGGCATCCTTTAGTTTTCCTTTCTCTTCCTGATTTGTCTTGGTCCTTCCCAGGCTGGAAGCAGCTGTAGCTTCACTCCTTATCCACGCTCGGGCAATTAGCAGGAGAACTGACCACGGTGTTTGTTTGCTGGCAGGTTTAACTGCTTAGTCTTCCTCCCTTGCATCTCCGCTTTTCCAAATCTATCCCCCAAGCGCCTGTACTGCCTGCTGGGCTGAGCGTGCAAACTGTGCAGCAACTAGGGACCCTGACCTCCTTGATGATCCTTGTCATATTTCAAAAGTTCTTAGGCAAAGATAGGGACTGGAAGTGGCCCCTTGCAGAAGACAACACTGACTTGGGACAGGGAAGGTTCCCACGCCCTGGAATTGAAGGCCCCTGTGCGTGCCTGCTCCAGGACCTCAGCCTCCTGGAACGGTGAAAACAATGACTCACACCAAGTAGGCACCGAAGCGCCCAAGCAAAGCCAGGCACCCGAGGGTGAACAGAGATTCATTTTCAGGTCACCCAACAGACTTGGCCCTTGCTTTGCTGCCACAACATCTCGCTCCCATAGCCGGTAAAAGTTTATTTGCTTTCATTGCCCAAGTGGTGCGCGAGCCCAGGGGCTCAGCGCGGAGGTGGGGGGCGGTCATGCCACCTGGTGTTCGCCTCGCGGCTGGACGCTAAACCTGTTTGGAAGTTTGTTTAGCAAAAAAAAAAAAAAAAAAAAAAAGTGGGGGACCTTGGAGTCAAGACGTTGAGGGGCTAAAGGAGGCCGGAGAGGACACCCAGGCAGTGGGTGCGGGTCCTGGGAACCTGACACCTGTAGCTGAGTCAGCGCCCAGGGTGCCCTCCCGCGCGCTCCCTCCGGCGCTCGGGTTCCGGAGTGGGAGTGGCCGAGGGGGGACCAGGTCTGGGGGCGGAGGGCCGGGGCGGGGCCGGCGCACCTGGGCGGGAAGGGGGAGGCGCGGGGCGCAGAGCGGGGCGGGGGCCGCGGCGCGCGCCCCGGGGCCGAGCGACTGGCAGCGCGCCCCGCGCTGGAGCCGCAGTCGCGCCCTCTCGCTGCCTGGCGAAGGCGGCCAAAGAGGCGAGCGCCGGGAGAGAGGGAGCCGCTGGCGCTGCAGGATGGCCGTGGGCTCGGTGAAGATGCAGCCTCCGTGTGAGAGCCCGGCCCTGGCCGCGGCGGCGGCAGCGGCAGCGGCAGCAGCAGCGGCGGCCGAGGGCGCCCAGCGCCGCAGTCCCGGTGCCCGCGAGCCAGAGCCAGAGCCCGAGCGCGAGCAGCCGCCGGCGTCTCTGCGGCCGCGGCTCCGGGACCTGCCTGCCTTGCTGCGGAGCGGGCTTACGTTGCGGAGGAAGCGGAGTGCCGCCGGGGGCCGGGTGAGTGCTCCGGGCCGACCTGACCCGAGTGGGGCTCGCGCGGTGCGACACGTGGAGCTCCTGTCCCGTCCGGGCCGCGGGGCTGCGCGATTGGAAGTTGGGGCGGCGGCGGAAGGGGCACCCTGCTGGCGGGCTGGGCTGGATAGGACTCCTTGGATGTGTGTAAGGGATGGCGGGTAGGGGGGCAGGGGTGTCCCGATAAGCGTCGCTTGCCCTGTCCCAGATGCACCTGAGTTACTAACCCTGAACTGCGGCTGCAGGACGCAGGCCTCACCGGCAGTAAGAACCTTTCCGTGCCATCTCCTTGGCAGGGCAGCTGCAGGTGGCCGGCGCCCAGTTGCCTGGCGCAGTCTCTCGGATCTCGGATTGTGGGACGCGGGCGACGCGGCGTGCCTGTGTTTGGCCATCCGGTGGCAAGCTCCATTCGTTGGGGCTGGATGGCTCCGGGGCGGTAAGCCCAGAACTTAGGTGACCTCGGGGGCGCGCCTCTATTTCCTGGGTTCCAGGTCTCTAGCACTGAACGCCCCAGGACGCCCCCTGCTGCAGGAGAGTGTACCCCAGGACCCGGAACAGTGACTTCCTGGGGTGTGTGTGTGCTTGGGGAGGTGATTTCCTGGTGCGGGAAAGGTGCTGTTGCATCCCTGGTGCATTTATTCAGTGACCCCAGCAGGACAGGCTTGTGTGTGCGTGCTCAGAAGTAGGAAAGGTTATGATTGCCACTGAATCACTTAGAAGACCAGGCCAGGACCTCAGCGGGTGGGCCAAGGCACTTTCCTGCTCCCCTTAGGGGTCCCCAAGGCACCTGGGAAGAAGGATCTGCTCAATTTTTAAATATTGCTCATCAGTAAGGACTGTAAACATTTTGAAGGACCATCATTTAAGAAGGAAAATTTTTGGCTATCTCCTTGGTGGAGTTTTCGTGGCAGTCTGAGGATCAGGCCCTTGGCAATGTTGTGGCTTCCTGGGAATGGAGAAAGGTCTTTGTGTCTGTCCAACCGCATCCCTTTCCACCGTTAGGGGTGGCTGTGCAGGGTCCGCCTCAGAAATACAGTCTCAGGTTTAGTGTGTTGTTTCTGGACTTTCTCAAAGTGGATGGCCAGGGGAGAGAGCTCAGGAATGGAATGTGTGACATGGTGGTGGGGGGCAGGGGGATGTGAAAGGAGGAGGGGGAGGGTCGGTAAAGAAAGCCAGGACATGTGTCCCCAAGCTAACATCAGCTCCGGGAGGCACAGACTGCACAGGAACCTGGGCGAAACTAGGTCAAGTCAGGTTCCTGTTATCCTTGACAGTTACTTTGCCGTGGCACACAACACCGAGGTCAGGCAGGCTGCCTGGTGACCCAAGACAGACATATATGGCCCAGGTCTCTGTGCAGAAAGATCTGGAGCGCCCCTCTGTGTGGAGTGCAACTTGCCCGCTGCCCAGTGCGGCATGCGTGCGTCGTTATGTGTCCTTAGGATGTGTCTGCACTTGTCTTTCTCTGGTTTGGTGTGGAGTTACTTTGCAGCAGCAGGCACTTGCTTCAGTGCCCATTGATTCTGATAATGCAATGGGTCTCCTTTGGCCTTTCCCATACATGTTGCCTGGTTGTTTGGGTTGTTTGAGTTGGCAGGGAGACAGAGTGTCAGAGCTTCTAATATTAGAAACCCAGCCTCGTCCGTGATTTTGCCCCCTTCTTCTGATCCTGGAATCCTGTATGTGCATTGGGGGTCCTTCTTCCCTAGTGGAGACAGTGGAGAGGCAGGAGGGAGCTTGGAAGAAAGGAAATCAAGGAAAGTGACAGAGCTGTGTTCCTGTCCTTGGGCGGGTGGCAGCTCAGACAGCTGTGGCTGAAGATGCATGGCCTTGATGAGCCGGCTCCAGAGGCTAGACAATGTCAGACTGGTGTATGGGCTTTTGCAGTAGCTGCTGGGGCCTCACTCCTGGCTTACAGGTGGCTGCGTGGCTGCACGGTCTGGCACGGCCTTTCCTTGGTGCGCTCGGAGGGAGTGCATCAGTCTTCCTCTCCTGAAGCTGGGAAGGCCTCAGCTTCGTACCTACTCTGGGCCCTCCTTTCTGAAGACCTAGTCTCTGAACGCCCATTGTTAGGGCTACATCATGGGGGCTTCAGGGGAGTGGGGGAGGCACAAGCATTCCATAATGGAAGGGTTAAAAGAAAAGAAAGGGGTTGGTATTGTGGCATAGCAGGTAAAACCCACTTTCTGCAGTGCTGGCGTCCCGTATGGTTGCTGGTTTGAGTCCCAGCTGCTCCACTTTAGATCCAGCTCCCTGTGAATGTGCTGGGAAAGCAGTGGAAGATGGTCTGAGGGCATGGGCCCCTGTACGGACATGGGAGACTTGAAAGAAGCTCCAGGTTCCTGGCTCTGCCTGGCTCGGTTCTAGCCATTTTGGTCATTTGAGGAATGAACCAATAAATGGAAGATCCTCTCTGTTTCTCCTCTGTGCACTGTAACAGAGCCTTGGAAAGAAATTAAAAAATCTTAAAAAAAGAAAAGTAAGTAAAACATGAGGGGCTGTGCAAAAAAATTCATGACAATGTATATTATGGAGGCAAAAACAAACACCTGTCTGGATTTCAAAGAGGTTTTGCACCAAAGTAAATATATTTTTCAGTTATACATTCCATGAGCCTTTTCAAGCCCCCTGGCATGTCCCAGACTGGCTGGAGACATGGGAACACCTGGAGTTGTCCAGTTAGCTCCCTTGCTTAAGGTGGTGATGCTGACACATTCAGACTTGGATCCTTTTGTGCACTTGGCATTGTGTCTCTTGGGCTGTACCTCCACCATGTTGAGTGAGCTCAGGAGTGAGTTAATAGAAATGGGGATCATTGGTAAAGAGTCAGCTATTTGTATCACACACAGTGGTGGGGTTTTCCAGGCCCAGTATTGACCAAGATCTGATGGAGGGATATATGTGCTTCTTATCCATACTGCCTTAGGGTTCCCTCACCCCACCCCAGGTCTGAGCAGTCTGACAGCGAAACTTGAAACTCGTGACCTGCGTTGCTCAACCCAAATGTATTTCTAGACCATCTCTTCCTAGGGCAAATTGAGCTGTCATTTGGTTAATACAGCAGAGTCCCTTGGTTCCTCGGTTGAGTCACTTTTAATCATGTTGAACTCTGTGTGCATACGGATTGAGCCTGTCTCCCTTTGCTTTATGGGAGAACCCTGCCTACCTCTTAGATACCAATGGCAAGGTCAGGCACAGCTTGGCTTTTCCACCCAAACCCTTGAATTGTTTTTTTTTTTTTTTTAAATGTGTGAATTTAGAGATTATGAGAGAATGGGGTCCCCCGGCTTTCAGGGTTGCTAACATTTTGCAGTCTTGTTTCATCTGCATCTCTCTTTGCTACTTTTTTTGGTGAGGTCTGGAATGGTTAAAGCGAAATCTGCAAACAGTGTGTCGAATCACAGTGGCTTCAGTTTGCAGGATCTGATAGGCACTTTGAAGAAACAAAGCTCTCACACCCTTTTCACACCTAGTAATAGGAGCACTAATTCCTTATTATGATTCTTATCCCTCATATATATTTTCTCAAAGATGCCTTTTCACTTGCAATGTTTGGAATTGGAAACTAAACAAACTCTGTGTTTATGTTGGTTATTAGGCTTTTAAATTTATTTTGTGTGCCTGTCACTCTACTCTGTTTTCATGGCACTGGTCTGCAAGAGGAAGACAGTCTTTCCTCCAGAAGTTAGGTATAGAGGCTTGGTCAAGATCAGGTTCAAAGCCAGGCATCCTTTTGGGATTTGCTGTGTCAAGTGGGGATGTCTTTCTTAAGACTGAGTAGTGGGTCCAGGTGGAGAAACTTAATCTTTGTGCCTTTCTCCTGCTAGTCCTGGCTCCAAATTGGGAGTTTGGGTGGGAACCGGATCTGTTTCATGGGTGCAGCCTGGTGACAGTGCACGTCACCATTGCACTCGCAGCTAGTAAATCCAATCGTGTACTTAAAGAACTGATCCTCAGAAGACAGGCGAGTGTCCTGAAATTCAGCCTGTGCAGGAAAGGCAGGGGAATAGCTCAATTTTTCCCCTCTTTTCAATTTTTAGAGTACCGTTGAGGGAGCCCTAATGACTTTCACTGATAACCAATGAAAAGAGTTCTTTTCAAACTCTCAGTAAGAATGTAGGCTTCTTATGTATTTGTTGCAGTGCTTTGCAGCCAACACACATATACACACACACTCTCTCTTTCTTTTAAAAATAACTAATTTATTTAAAATGCAGAGCAACAGAGACAAAAAGAGAGGGAGGGAGGGAGGGAGGGAAGGAGAGAGAGAGAGATATCGAGAGAGATCGAGATCTCCCACCTGCTGGTTCATTCTCCACATGGCTCAGACAGCCAGGACCAGGGCAGGCTGAAGCTGGGATCTCTATCTGGGGCTCCCACGTGCATGGCAGGGTCACCGTCTTGGGCTGCCTTCCCAGGCCTATACACAGAGAGCTGGATTGGAAGTGCAACAGCCAGGACTGCAGTGTGCAGTAGGACATAGGGATGCTGGTGTCTCAAGGGACAGCTTATCTGGCTGGGCAGCAGCCCTGGCTCCAGCAGTGACGCACAGCCTGTGCTTGTCTCCTGCAAACTTTCTCCGTGGCTGCCGTGGCCTTGAGTGGGATTCAGACATTCTGAACTTACCTTATTTATTTCCTGCCACAAACCATTTCTCCAAGGAACAATGGTTCTTTTTTTTCCTCTTTCTCTCTCTTTTTCTCCTTCCCTCCATCCCTTCTAAAAATTAGCCCCCCCAAATCCCTGTTCATTTGCTGCAGCTTTACCTTCTCTGAGTGGCTACACTGTTTCAGTTTTTAGTCTCCCAGTTCAGGCTTTTCATTTCTTAGTTCCTTCTCAGGGGTTTCTCTCCTGAGTCAAATCGCTGGTAACCCACCAGCCCCTCTTCCTGTGGCTGCTGTCCCTACAAGGGGACATGCTGTTTATCCTCACGACGGGCGCATTTCACGGGCACAGCGCGTCCCATGCACTTGGTCTTTGCATTG